CCAACCCAAACGATTCTATGATTCCGAATGGGACCTCATGAGGGCTGACTGGATGAGAATAATTACTTCCCTTGATGTGCTAGCTACAGTCTAACTGGCACAGACTAGTGATTACTCTTTTATGTCATAAGGCTGTATGTCTGATTAATGCTCAGTTTGTCCATTGCTTAGGTCCTTCTCTGTGAAATCGTTACACAGGCAGTCCATTCCCAGGTTGTGCTGTTGCAAGTGTTTGGTTTTGACCTAGGTGCAGCACTTTGTATTTATCATTATTGCACTTCATGTGGTTTCTGCTGGTGAGTTCTACCAGCTTGTCAAGGAAGCTCTGGGTAGTAGTCTTGCTATCCAACAAATTCCCCTGTACTGATGTTATTTGAAAACTTAAGGATTCATTCCAGCCATTGTGCAAATAACTTAGAAGCAGAACCTGCCAATTATAGAGGCCTTTCCAGATGCTGTGGTGAAAGTGGAATTACTTTGTGTCTCAGCATTGAGATTGAGGATTTCCATCCAGAAGCCCTAGTCTGCAAAAAATGCTGCAGAAATAGGCTGGCATGTAGCAGTGGAGACTGCAGGTAGTCTGTATCAAAGGGAAACAGACTTCTCAAAGAACCTCTAAGTTAATTTGTGTATCTCTTGTGGTTTCAAATCGTATTATTCTGTAACAAGTGGAACAGTGAAGAAAGGAGGGAAGAAACAGTAACAGTTGGCTGCTTTAATAGACATTAAAATCCATCAGTTTCTGAAAAGCTGCAAGGTTATTTTAGAAATGAGAACTTGACATTGTGAATTTTGATTATGCTGGTGTTTTTATTCACATGACTTAATTGTACAAAGCGTTATTTTAAGACACCAGCTGTCTTTTTGTGAGCAGGTAGGGATGAGTTACCTGCATCGTTCACAATACTTGACACGTAGGCTGGTTTCAAATGATTGTTAGCAGTCGAAGTGTAGCCTTTTGAGGAACTGTCATTTGCAGGAAGTAATGAGCTTCACTTCAGCAATAAAAGAGGGATCCTCATACCAGCAGACCAATGTCCCGTTTTCCCTTACTGGCTTCCTTTTTGACACTGTCAGAAGAGCTCAAAGGCTGACAGTGGCCCCTTAGGTGTGATCACTGCTGGATGGAGTAATATTGGAGCAGTAGTGTGATAAAGCTTAAAATGACACCGTTCTATATATCTTCATCTGCCAGTAACCCAAGACTTCCATTTTTAATCATGTATCTTACACACGCTGGTAAGTCAACTACAGTTCTGTATTTTTAGTCACACTCAACTTGGGCTAGGTGTCTGAAAACAATTTCTCCTTGCTCCTTAAAAATCAATGTGGAATCAGTTTCCTTCTGTTTGGGTTCACCATAGAAGATGTGTTACATTTCAGTTTTGCCCTTTGGGCATTCTTAGAGTAGGATTAATTCAGATTTGTTTTCTCCCCTATCGTAGTAATTTCCCCAGTTGCTTTTGTCAGTCTTCTGCATAGCATCATGGAAATGAGAAAGTCATAAGTTCATGGGGGGAAAAGATAGGAACATACATAGTGATTGAAAGAGCTATCAGCTTGGTTTCAGAACTAAGCCTCTAGTTAACTGTGCTCCTTTAATTTCAAAGTCCTCTTACTCCTGAATATCCAAAGGTGGTAGAGCAAAAAGTATAGATACCAAAAAAGTTTAACTATCTCATATTTATACCCATAGCATACTGCTTTTTACTTGTATTGCTAAATGGAAAGTGTGTCTTTTTCTTAATAAAATTATAACTGCAACTTGTTATTTTCTGCTTCCAACTTCAGGTCATTAGTATTTACATGGGAATCACTGTAAATCTGGCAGAGGCATGGGAACCCTACAAAGCCGCGAAAACTGCCCTCAACTACACCCTGGATCTTTCAAACGTCAAAGAGCAGGTACATAAGCCAGAGTTAAGTATTTTTAGCAAGATACAAGCTGTGTGGGCATCCCAAGTCTGTTATATGACACTACTAATGCATAGGACTCTTTTTCTTGAATACAGTTACTTTTATTACATTACAGTACTTTGAAGTATTTTTAACTCAAAGTTACATACGAAGTTTCAAAATCTGGTCTTCACAGCACTGCTTGTTTCACTTCCTTGTGCAGTGTTTCTTTCCCCTAAAAGTTTCAGGGCTGTGACTTGATTAAATAGATGCCAGCCCTCATCGCCGTGTTCCGTCAGTATCGGGATGTCTTAAGCTGGCTTTAGTGTTTGGTCTTGCATAGATAACAGCGTTAGAAGTTACACATCACAGAATGGTTTGGGTTGGAAGGGACCTTAAAGATCATCTAGTTCCAACACATCTATGCTGGCAGAGTGGGGCCTCCCAAATTAAAGAAACAATAAGCTGGAAAAAACATCTGATTGAAAAGAATGATATTGGAATGTTGTATGATGCAATGCAGTTATTTTTATGTGTAGTCATTTTTTCCCTGCCTAAAAAGCAGTGAGTGATACTGGGTTGGTTGGTTGATTGTTTGCCCCGTCAGCAAGCCAGTTGACTGATGATAGCTAAATGGCTCCTTAGGACTGACCCCAGTGTTCAGGAAAGAACACACAGGAGTGTCTAATTAGGAGAACTGTACTATATACTGTGTAGTAAACTTAGGGAATAAGAGCAGACATTCTTCCTTAGTCTTCAGGGAAGAAGTTCACCAAGTAGAACCAATACGTAGTACAGAACAAATATTTTGCAATAGATTTGTGTTGTTTTCCTTTCTCATTAGGCAATAAAACATTGTACCATTTCTTAGGAATAATTTCTAGAGAGTACATAAGTGAACACAGGAAGTTTACAAGTCTGTATTTTTTGAAACATTATGCTTCCTGTGTAGGCTCTTTGCTTTAAAATGTAGCTTGCGTCCTTTGTCATGCAGTTGCCATGGATGATGTTAACTACTACTAATGATGATGATTTTTATGGCGCTTTTTTGATCTGTGTGCCCTTTAAGTTCTTGGGAAGCCACAGTCACACCGTACATGATGTATTCCACTCGATGCAAGAACTGTACTGATGCAAGCTTTGTATATCCTAAGGCAAGCAGATACGCTGCGGTCACTGAGCGGGTGCACACTCAGGTGCAGCAGTTTCTGAAAGAGGGCTGTCTGAGGGAAGAGCTGGTGCTGGACAATATTCCCAAGCTGCTGAATTGCCTGCGAGACTGCAATGTGGCAATCCGCTGGCTGATGCTTCACACTGCAGACACAGGTGAGACTTCCATTGCAGAGCTGTCAATCCTGCTATCCTGGTGCCTCATGTGACGTCCCGAGGGAAGTTCAGTGTGTGCCGCTGCTGAAGGCAGCAGAGTTTCATCTGCTGTTTTCAATGCCTTGTTGAGCTGGTTTTTTGCTAACAGTCTCCTAAAGTCTTCGGTTGAAACAGCCCACATGCATTTCCTTAATTCTCACAAGCTAGACACAGATATAAAAAGTAACATGAGAAGTCATGATCCTGTTGAGTAATACTCTGCAGAAAAAGTCTGTGAACTTAGCTTTTTCTGTCTTCTCACTTAAAGCATCACTCTGGGAGTTCTACCTAGTACCAAAAGGAAAGCTGTGGCTAACTTTTTAATATCTTAGCAATTAATAATTATATAATTAATAAAACCGAGTTTTTTATTCTGTTGAACTGTAATTCAGCTGAAACTGTTAAAAAATGTCTATGACACCAGTTTTTCATCTGTAAGCTGACCTATTTAGACTGTCTTTGGGGCCTCTTGGTATATGAGGAGGCTTCTGTTAACACCTCCATGTGTTTTCTGTAACAGTTTCAGAAATGTTGATCTCTAGGCTTCTCAGTCAGGTGTACTAAATTCACATTTAGTGTGCAGACGTCAGCAAAAGAGTTTTAAGAAGGCTGAAGCACCATAGAAGCCATAATTGGCCAAGAAGGCCAGTGGCATCCTGGGATGCATTAAGAAGAGTGTGGCCAGCAGGTCAAAGGAAGTTATCCTCCCCCTCTGCTCTGCTCTGGGGAGGCCTCACCTGGAGTGCTGTGTCCAGTTCTGGGCTCCTCAGCTCAAGAAGGACAAGGAACTACTGGAGAGGGTCCAGCCCAGGGCCACTAATATGATGAAGGGCCTGGAACACCTTCCATATGAGGAAAGGCTGAGAGAGCTGGGTCTGGTCAGCTTGGAGAAGAGGAGGCTGAGGGGGGATCTTATCACTGTTTATCAATATCTAAAGGGTGGGTGTCAGGAACATGGGGCCAGGCTCTTCTCAGCAGTGTCCAGTGACAGGACTAGGGGCAATGGCCATAAACTGGAAAACAGAAGGTTCAACCTGAACATGAGGAAACCCTTCTTCACTGTGAGGGTGAGAGAGCACTGGAACAGGCTGCCCAGAGAGGGGGTGGAGTCTCCTTCTCTGGAGACTTTCAAAAGCCGCCTGGACTTGTTCCTGTGTGATCTACTCTAGGGGATCCTGCTCTGACAGGGGGTTAGACTGGGTGATCTCTAGAGGTCCCTTCCAACCCCTACCACTCTGTGTAGTTATTTCCTATTCTGAGGAAGAGTTGTACAAGGGTGGTGAGACTCATGTCTCACTTGGGCTTGGAGAACAAGTGAAGACTTTGATATCAGAGCTAAATGTTTTGGCTTTCAAGCTGTTAAAACAGGAGTCTATCTACAAAGGTGGAAAAGCTTGGCCAAATTCTGTTACAGTGGAGAAATGCTGTCTTTCCATTTTCAGCTTGTGATCCAAATAACAAACGTCTCCGCCAGATGAAGGATCAAATTCTTGTAGACTCAAGGTACAATCCCAGGATCCTTTTCCAGCTTCTTCTGGATACAGCTCAGTTTGAATTCATTTTGAAAGAGGTAATGTGCTGCTACCTTCTTCAGTGTTTTCTCCAGAATGGCAGAATAGAGCTGAAGGCTTGAATAGTAGTAGTACTTTTACTGCACAGTCCACTTAGATGAAGAATGATTATTTTGATTTGTTAATTGTGAATTTTCTGTAGATGATTACAAACTACTGTTGCATGGAAGTGACTTTTGCAGTCTTCCCAATAATTGACAGTTTTTATTCTTACCCAATATATTTATATTTACTCAGAAATTTTCATGAACATCCTTACAACAGGCATAGTAAAGTCTGTTGAGGAAGCTACATACGTTTTTATCCTGCCATCCTTCTCTTTTTCAGACTTCCTTTTAAACAGAGCAAAAGCCTATGTTTGTTGAGGAGAAGCTGCTAAGAGAACTCTTACACCTCTGTGGTGGGTAGACCTTGGCTGGCCGCATGGTGCCCCCCAAGTCACTCTATCACTGCCCTCCTCAGCTGGACAGGGGAGAGAAGATACAATGAAAGGCTCATGATAGATAAGGACAGGGAAGGATCATCCAGTAGTTACCATCATGTGCAAAACACTCAGCTTGGGAAAAAAATTAATTTATCATCATTCAAAATCAGAGTAAAAAGAACTAAACCCAAATCTTAAAACAGCTTCCCCCCCATCCCTCTCTTCTTCCTGGGCTCAAATTCTCTTCTCCCACCAAACGGTGCAGGTGGATGGGGAATGGGGTTATGGTCACTTCATCACACATTGTGTCTGCCATTCCTCCTCCTCAGGGGGAGGACTCCTCACACTCTGACCCTGCTGTAGAGTGTGGTCCCTCCCACGGGAGACAGTTCTCCACAAGCTTCTCCAATGTGAGGCCCTCCCACGGGCTGCAGTTCTTCCCCAACTGCTCCAGCGTGGGTCCCTCCCACAGGGTGCAGTCCTTCACAAGCAGCTGCTCCAGGGTGAGTCCCCCATGGGGTCACTCGTTCTGCCAGCAACCCTGCTCCAGCCTGGGCTCCTCTCTCCACGGGGCCACAGCTCCTACCAGGAGCCTGCTCTATTGTGGGCTGCCCACAGAGTCACAGCCTCCTTTGGGCATCCCCCTCATCCAGTGTGGGGTCCTCTCTGGGCTGCAGGTGGGCCTGTGCTCCACTGTCACCCTCCATGGCTGCAGGGCACAGCCGGCCTCACCATGGCCTGCTCCACAGGCTGCCAGGGAATCTCTGCTCTGGCACCTGGAACACCTCCTCCACTCACCTTGGTGTCTGCAGAGTTGCTTCTGTCACATCTTGCTCTCTGTCTGTAAAATCCCCTCTTCTGCATTTTTTTTCCTTCTTAAACATGTTATCCCAGGGGCATTATGACCGCGATTGTCATGGCCTTGGCCATCAGTATGTCTGTCTTGGAGCTGGCTGGCATTGGCTCTGTCAGGCACAGGGGTGGCTTCTGGCAGCTTTTCACAGAAGCCACCCTGTAGCCCCCACACTACCAGAAACCTTGCCACACAAACCCAGTACAACCTGTGTATGATGCTCTACCATTTCTTAAAGGTTCCCGTTAATGCTCTGGCACTAACCTGGTAGAATACCTAAGAGTGTGCTGAACTACAAGTACACACGCTTTTTTGAACTGGGTTTCTCTGGATAGGCTGAGAGAAGTGTAAGTCAACATTAGACTGGAAGTCTTCGTGGATCTCTTACGGTAAAAAGGTTGCTGGATATTTTTATAAGTGACTAAAAATCAACAGTGTCTGCATCATACTGTTTTTTTAAATTCAGTTAATTTCTGTCACTCTGTGTCCATCACGCGGGTTGTATTTCTCAGTGTCTTTAATATTTTGTTTAATATTCTGACAAGATCTTGAAGTTGTATAGTAATCACTGTAAGTCAGTTCCATCTGATTTCAGTATTTATTTCATCTGTTGTAGTATACCTTATTGCCAGACTTTTAAAGCAAATGCTTCGCTTTTCAATAGATGTTCAAGCAGATGCTGTCAGAAAAACAAACAAAATGGGAGAACTATAAAAAAGAAGGATCTGAAAGGATGACTGAGCTTGCTGACGTCTTCTCGGGAGTTAAACCTCTTACTAGAGTGGAGAAAAATGGTAATTGTTAAAAACTGAAGTGTGGGAAAAAAAGTAATTTTTGGTTTTTGTTTCTAAGGTGATACCAAAAGAAAATGCGTGAGGATAATATTGATAATAAGAAAAAATTCAGGTGTCTCAGCTGCCACAGAGGTTTCTTACATGCTGCCTTGTTTAGGTTTTCTGAATATATTCCATATGTAAGCCATATTTAGGTGCCTAATATTTAGATGGGGAGGGTTGGAACTAGAGGATCTTTGAGGTCCCTTCCAACCCAAACTATTCTATGATTCTGTGATTTTTTAAATATGTTTTTCTCATGGGCATGCAGAAATCCTGCCCATTAAACATGGGGATGGTTTAACCTCTCTTCTCATTCTTTTCCTAGTTGTAACCTGGACTTCTGTTGTATTAGCATTTTTTCAAAGCTTCTTTTACTTCTTGTCTGCGCTGAGTGGTATTCTCCAAGTTCTCCAAGTACTTAGAAGTGTTGAATCTGTATTTCTTTCCAAGTTTCTTCCTCTGATTTTGAAACGTGGGTTTTTTGTTGTTGTTGTTTTGGGGTTGGGGTTTTTTTGAGTTGGAATAAGAATAAGAATTGTAAATCACTCTCTTATTTTATCACAAACGCTGCATAAGGTGTCAGTGTATGAGCAACATTTGTGATCAACCCATAACAACAAAACTTAGAATAGAGGCAATTTTATCACTTGCTTCCACTTAAAAGCAGAATTACCTTACTGAAATGTTTCCCTTTACCTTTCTGATCTCAGCAAATTTGTAGCTAAAACATAGAAATTGTAACTGCCAAGGTAACACTGCAGACCTGTTCATAAAACACAGATATATGATTTAAAGGACTGTATCATCTTTGTGTAGATTTTATAATGTCCATTTGTGTTGGTAGTCGGGTTTTTAATGGTGTATGTGAAACATACCTGAGCATTTACCCCTTTACAAGTCTGCATGTTGAAAGACTAGAAATGTAGCAGTTAGATCATAGAATCACAGAATGGTTTGGGTGGGAAGGGACCTTAAAGACCATCTAGTCCCCCCCCCCCTGCCATGGGCAGGGACACCTTCCACTAGACCAGGTTGCTCAAAGCCTCATCCAGCCTGGCCTTGAACACTTCCAGGGATGGGGCATCCACAGCTTCTCTGGGCAACCTCTTCCAGTGCCTCACCACCACCTCCGTGAAAAAGATGAAGACTATTTAAAAGATTTCCTACATGTATAGCCTGTTTGTTTGTTTTGACTAGCAAGTTCCCTGTGTCTTTGTTGCTTATCATAGATGCAAAAATTTGATTAAATTTTTCTTATTCTTACATAGAAAACCTTCAGGCTTGGTTCAGAGAAATCTCCAAGCAAATAATGTCTCTAAACTATGATGATTCCACTGCAGCAGGCAGAAAAACTGTGCAGCTAATACAGGCACTGGAGGAGGTATGGCAAAAAAATTTTCAGATAAATGACCTCGTCCTTTTGAAAAATAGTATCTGTAATACATGCACTGACTTCTGATAGATGAGTTACAAAAACAGATCTGTGTTTAACAACTATTTAAGCCTGTAGATCTTTGCAGTTTTATATATACAGTCAGCAGGACTTAGAATCATAGAATCACTAGGTTGGAAAAGACCTTAGAGATCATCCAGTCCAACCGTATCTGTCTGCCACTAAACCATATCTCTCAGCACCTCATCCACCCGTCTCTTAAACACATCCAGGGATGGTGACTCCACCACCTCCCTGGGCAGCCTGTTCCAGTGTGTGATAACCCTTTCGGTGAAGAACATCTTCCTTACGTCCTTCCTTACGTACTTGCTTATAGACCTTTTGATGGTAGAAGGGACATAGCATGAAAAGTCACGCCACCTTCAGCTGAGGATTTGTCGGGTTTTTCAAATAAATGAATTCATTATTAAACATTATTTGGCAACATTACTAATTTTATTAGAAATTCTGAAAATAAATTCATTTGAAGCTCAGGAGGGTAATTTGAAAGGCAAAATAAAAACACCCGTCTTTGGAAGTAGAAGAAATGTACCCAGAACAGGATATAGAAGAATACTCAGTATGGTGTTTCACAATACACCTCCTCAAGTAACTTTCTGAAATTTATTATTTAACACACTCTAAAGTAGGCCAGGATTTGTTAAGTGTCTTGTATAATAATATCCTGAAGAAATATGTCAGTTCACTGATTATATTTGTATTGCTGTCCTCAAAGATAAACAGGAAAAAAAAGGGGGGTTGTTTTATGGTGTTGGTTTGTTTTTTAAATACAGGTCCAAGAGTTTCACCAGCTGGAAACTAACCTGCAAGTTTGCCAGTTTCTGGCTGACACCCGCAAATTCCTCCATCAGATGATCCGAACTATCAACATTAAAGAAGAGGTCCTAATCACCATGCAGATAGTTGGTGACCTTTCTTATGCTTGGCAATTAATTGACAGGTATCTTAGCAGGAGCTTTTACTTCCAAGTCAGTCATCATTTGCGAAACTTGTGGGACATAACATGCGTAAATATTATTAATACTGTAAATTTCCAACTTCAACAGAGTCTTGAAGCGTTATTGTACGAGTTGTTGAATGTATTCAACTGTTGTGATTGTCATGTTGTTGACTGAGGGTTAAGTGATACTGTAGTTTTTTACTGTCAACCCTGTTCTAACTATAACAATTTTGTTAAGCTTCTACCTCCAGCCTGTAGTCTAGTTAAGTGTTCTCCAAAATACTGGAGTTCCTCTTCCAACCAAAATCAAACAAGGAAAGACAAGTGCTAGAGAACTCCTTTTCTATGGTGTGATTTTGCTGAGAGCTACTTCATTACCTTGGCTGTTAGCACTCCCTCAGGGCCTCTCTTTTGCCCCACTTACCCCTTTATCTTACAGGCTTTTTCTAACCAATATCTCTTCAGACCTCCTTTAGTGAAGTTCTTCAGTCATCTCTCGTGCCATTTCTAGACTACACGGGTGCTGGTGATGCATGATTTAAGAGTTGAAAACAGAGTTTCGGGGAAAAAAGCTGATTTGTTTTGTTTGTTTCCTACCCCAGCTTTACATCTATTATGCAGGAAAGCATACGAGTCAGTCCCTCTATGGTTACTAAACTCAGAGCCACATTCCTAAAGGTAAGTATGAACGACAGTGAATGTGCTTGAACACTGCCGGTCAGCCAGAGCTTTAAGGCTGTGATGTCACAAGACCTAAAACTTCCTTTTACCAACTTTTTCTGTATCCAGATGTTTTTATACTGTATTACATTAACTCAAGGTTAATTTTAAAGAAAATAAAGCCAAGTTATGTTTGGTTTTTTTTTTTTAATGCAGCCAGTTATATTGCAGCTCTTAGGCAAAGAATTCTCATTGTCCAGCCTCTACTCATTACAGTGATTTGCTGGAGGTACTAGTGCATAGATGGGATCCTCTGCGTATGTATTGGAGGAGGCAGGAGGAATTACAAAAGCTGTGGTGGCTATGGCCTTTGTCTGTCGTGATGAAGATCTGGCATCAGATGAAAATATTTTGTGTAAAAAGAAGAACGGGAAATGGCATGAGGGAGAGTGTAAAATTACAACGCAAAAAAAAATGTCATGCAACTGTTAAGATTTAAAAAAAAATAATGATCAGAATGTAGTCTTGCAGACTGTTGTACTTCTTTGACTTTTAACAATGGGGGTTTTTTTCTGTTGGCAAACCTGATGTTGTAACATTGCTCTTTAGGAGCTTTGAGTGCTTTGAGTTGCAGGTTAAGAGCCTGAGTAAGAGAATTCAAGAATTTAATTTGTATTAGGAAAGCAGACATGTGAAGTTAACATTTTAACTTTATTTCTAGCTTGCTTCTGCTCTTGACTTGCCACTTCTCCGCATCAATCAAGCCAATAGTCCCGATCTTCTCAGTGTCTCGCAGTATTATTCTGGCGAGTTGGTTTCCTATGTAAGAAAGGTAGGTGTTTGAAGAGGCATAATTCTCTTGTTCTCTAATTACTTTTTCTTAATTGAAGATTTCTGGGTTTTGAGTGAGACTATGCTGACTGCGTCTGTTTCTTCTCTCATTTACAAAGGTTCTACAGATAATTCCAGAAAGCATGTTTACATCTCTTCTCAAAATTATAAAGCTTCAGACTCATGATATTATTGAAGTGCCTACTCGCCTTGATAAGGACAAGCTCCGAGATTATGCTCAGCTTGGACCGCGATACGAGGTGCAGTTAACATAGGGGATTCTGAAAAAGTGTATTTCGTAGGTGGCCAGCTTCAACCTAAGTTTAAATAGGTACAGCTCCACAGAGTTACACCTTAACAGGGAAGTTGGATTTCTTGACTGAGTAAGAATTAACATTGACTGGTGTTACCGTGAGCATACCCTGGGTTTCCTGAGGGCAGATGAGTAACTGCTGCTCTTCTATTTATGAAAGTTTAAACTTTTCATCTTCTACAAAAAGGGAGGAAAACTAATCATAGAATCATAGAATC